TTTGTGATTTCAGGTCTTACCTCTAAGTCTTTAATCCATTTTGAGTTGATTTTTGTTTATGTTTTGAGATTGTGGTCTTTCCATTCTTTGAAGAGATTTTCTTTTCCCTGTATTATATGTGTGTCTCCTTTGTGGTAAATTAACTGTCCATGTAATTGTGGATTTCTTTCTGGACTCTCAATTCTATTCCATTGGTCAGTGTGTCTCTTTATGTCAATATTCTACTGTTTGATTACTATAGCTTTGTAGTGTAATTTGAAATCTAGGTGTTTGATGCCACCAGTCTTCTTTTTTTTTGAGTCACACATTGTTTTGACTATTCAGCTCTTTTGTGGTTCCATATGGATTACAGAAGTGTTTCCTCTATACCTTTCGTGAATGACATTGAAACTTTGATAGCAATTGCTTTGAATCTTTATATTGCTTTAGGTAAGATGGCCATTTGACAATGTATCTTTACATTTCTTTGTGTCTTCTCTTTTAATAACATTTTATAGTTTTCCTTATAGTCTTTCACCTTCTCTGTTAAGTTTCTTCTTAGGTATTTAATTCTTTTTGATGTATTTGAAAATGATATTGTTTTCTTGATTTCTTTTTTAGTTTGTTGTTTTATATAGGAATGTTACAGATTTTCTTATATTGACTTTGTAACTTGCCACTTTTCTGTACTGACTTATTGTTTCTAATAGTTTTTTTTAGTGCAGTCTTCAGGGTTTTCTGTATCTGTTATGTCATTTGCAAATACTTTTACTTATTTACTAATTTGTATTCCTTTTGTCTTTCTTGCCTAAAGCCTCTAACTAGAACTTCCAAAACTGTGTTGAATAGTAGTGGTGAAAAGTGTACGTACTTTCCTTATACCTCATCTTACAAGAAAGACTTTGGCAGTTTTTCACCATTAAGTATCATGTTAGCTGTGGGTCTTCTTTCATTTATGATTTTATTTATTGGAGTTTTCTTTCATTTTTCTTAGCCTCTGTAGAGGTTTGTCTATTTTATTTTTTCAGAGAACTGCTTTTGGTTTCATTGATCTTTTGTGCTTGTTTTCTTGATTTTTCATTTACTTCCCCTGTAATTTTTATTATTTCCTTTGTTCTAGTGACTTTCATTTTCATTTGTTTTCCTAGAACCTTAATATCAAAGTTAGTTTATTTATTTGAGCTCTTTCTTGTTCATGTGGGCCTGCATTGCCATAATGAACTGTTAGCACTGTTAGCACTGCCTTTAAGTAGCCCGTAGTTTTTCTTTCTTTTTTTTTTTTTTTAAATAGAGGCATGTTATTTATTTATTTGTTTGTTTGTTTGTTTGTTCTGTTTATACATGCACTGGGTACAGTCAGAAGCGCGGGAGGGTGAGAGAATTCACCAGAGCCAGAGCGGGGAGCAGAGCAGGCAGAAGGACCGAAGTACACTGCTGAGGGGCGCAGCGGGCGGCGGGAGAGGTCTGCGCACCATGTGGGACCCTCCCCTGGTGGCCGGGGAGCAGCCGGGGATCGAACAGGTGCCGCAGAGGCTGCGGGCAGCTTTGCAACCCAGCGCTTAACTGCTGTGCCACCGGGGAGGCCCAGTACCCCGTAGTTTTTGACATTTTATGTCTTCATTGTTTGTTTCCAGGTATTATTTAATTTATTGTTTGATTTTTTTTTTATTAGCCCATTCAGTACCATTTTGTTTAGTTTCCACATATTTGAGCTGTTTCTTGTTTTCTGTGGTTGATTTCTAGTTTCATGCCATTGTTATCAAAGAAGATACTTAAAATGATTTCAGTCTTCATAAATTTACTGACAATTGTTCTGCAGTCCAGTGTGTGGTCTATCCCTGAGAATGTTCCATGTGCAACTTATATGATTTTTTTACTCAACTTTTTTGGTGTTAGAGTGCTCTATGAATATCTAGTAAATCCATCTGATCTAATTTCTCATTGAGGGCTGTTCTTTCCATGTTGATTTTCTGTCCACCGGTGTAAGTGGGATGTTGAAGTTCCTCACTTTTATTGTGCTGTCAGTGTCTCTTTTTAGGTCTTTTAGTTGTTGCCATGTGTATTTTGGTGCTCTTTCATTTGGTGCGTACATGTTCATGAAAGTTACGTCTTTATGATGAACCCATTTTCACGTCCATACCTGTCTCTTGTCACCTTTTTTTAGCTGGAAGTCTATTTATCTGATACAAGTATGATTGTATCTGCCCTTTTTAGGGTTCTATTTACTTGTAGAAATATTTTCCAATCTTTTACTTTGAGTCTGTGTTTGATTTCTGGAGTTCAGATTGTCTCCTGGAGCCAATGGAAGGTTACATTTTGTTTTTCTGATCCAGTAGCACTCTGTGCTTTTAATTGTGAATTTAAGGCATTGACATTTAGGGTAATTATTGATACATGTTTTGTCATTTTACTAGTTATTGTCTGGATTTTTTGCTGTTTGTTCTTCTCTTGTTCTTATATTTTGAAAGCTCCCATTTGTATTGTGTTGCCTCCCATTTTATTTTATTTTTTTCTCCAAGGTTACCATAAGGCTTATACATAGAGTTGTATATTTAGAAGCTACCTTAAATTGAAAGCAAGGTAATCCTAGATTTATTCAATCAGACTCCATTCTTACTCACTTCCTCTCTGTTGTTTTGGGGCACTTAATGCTTCTAGTGAGATTTGTTTTTGTTTTAAAATAGATCCTTTTATATTTTTTGCAAAACCTCTTTAGAGGAGATATAGTCCTTCCACTGTTTGTTTGTAAAGTTCTTTATCACTCCTTCAATTTTGAATGTTAGCCAAGCTGGATAGAGAATTCATGGGTTGAGTTTTTTCATTTAAAGCTTTGAGTACTTCTTGCCACTTCCTTCTGATCTACAAAGTGTCGCTGAGAAATCCTCTGACAGTCTGATGAGTGTCCTCATGAGGGTGACTCCACTTTTCTATAGCTGCTTTTAGGTTCTCTCTTTTAATTTTTTCCTTGTAAATTATTATTTGTCTTGTCTTGCTGTGGTCTGTTTGGGTTTATTGTGTATGGGATACTTTGAACTTCCTGTATTTGAATGTCTGTTTCCTTCCCTAGCTTGGGTAAGTTCTTGACTATTCTTCAAATAGGATTTCTGCTCTTTTTTCTCTCTTCGTCTGTAATTCTTATAATATGTATGTTCCTCTTGATGCTGTCTCATTGGTCTCTTACGTTGTCTTCATTTTTTTTTTTTTTTTAAGATTTATTTATTTATACAAGAGCTGGGCTGGGGTACAGGCCAGAGGCGTGGGAGGGTGAGAGGATTCACCAGAGACAGAGCGGGGAGCAGAACAGGCAGATGGACTGAAAACACGGCTGAGGGGAGCAGCGGGAGAGACAGGAGAAGTCTGCTGTGCCATGTGGGTATCTCTCTGGCTGGCCAGGAATCGAACCGCCACTACAGATACTACAGACAGCTTCACAGTGCTGTGCTCAACCTGCTGCACCACTGGGGAGGCCCGTCTTAATTTTTCTTATATCTTTTTTCTTTCTGCTTATCTTTTTGATTGATTTCCACTACCCTGTCTTCTCACAGATTTGTTCCTCAGCCTCAATGATTTTGCTGGTGAGCTCTACTGCTGTATTTTTTTTTTTTTTAATTTCAACTATTTCATTTTCTATCTCTCTGACTTCTATTTTTCTTATTTTCTCTGCCCTTGTTTTATCTCTCATGTTGCTCATTCACTGTTCTCTTAATTTCACTAAGCATCCTAAGACTATTGCTTTGAATTATTTTTCTGGAAATTTAGTTAGAACTTTTGAAATAGAATTCCCCCGGCCCCCCGAGTTTTGTCTTGATCTAATGATTGGCATGAATTCCTCTCCCTCTACATTCTGTTTGGTAGTCTGTGATTATTTTTATGTTATCAGCTAGAAAGCTTTCTTTTCCATTCCTCCTGCAACTGTCTTGAGTTAGAATTATAGTTCATAGGGTATTTCTTATGGTCTTGGTCTTGAATACTGTGCTTTCTGGTGTTGGCTGAATCTGTGTCTCTAGTTAGAGTGACTGGGTCATGAATCATCTTGGTGTAGGATGGGATGGGGACTTCCTGAGAGTCCAGCCTTCCCTGTGTGTGCTGTGGATGCTGGTGTTGCAGATTGCTATACATATGTGCCTCCTTCAGTGCTGTAGCTGCTCCAGTGGAAATAGTGATCTGTAATCGCCATCTGATCAAGGTGGGTCAAGATAGACTTTTCCAGTGATGCTCTCCCAGAAGTCCCAGCTAGCAACTAATCCTTTGGCTGAATCCAACTCTAAATTCTGCAGATTTTCCTTGAGGCTCAGGCACATGTAGGGGATTGGGAAGATGAGTTTTTATGGGCACTGTCTTTATCTCTTTAAGGATCTGAGATGTTCTTATTTTAAAGTCTTTTGAAACTGTAGTTTGTAATCTCATTTTTAGCAGAGTGCTATTTTGTTTTGTCTTTCATTGCACCTACTCTACCTGGTACTTTTGGGGTTGTCTCTGCCATGTCCCTTGTGGCTGCTTCTTTAGAAGGAGGTCTTATATTAGAATATTTGGGTTACTGTTCTCCAGGACTATTGTTGAAACTCTCAGGAATTATTCCCAGAATCTAGTGGGTGACTTGATTTAGATAATTTTTGTTTGATTGCCTGTGATCGTTTCCATTTGCATTGTTTCAGCCTTGGGTGGCAGTCATAAGTATTGTCTCCATTCACATAATGGAGAGTCTTGCTTCAACCCCTGACTTCACAAAACAAGCCTGACTAAGTTTTTAAAACAAATAACTTGCTCTTTTATGTTTGTTTCTTTTACCTCTGGGGTATAGGAAATTAAAGAGATTGCTGTGGTTTATTGGAAAGTATGATGAGTTCCTAACTGATAACCTTCAGTCCCTTTTTTTTTAAAGGGAAGGTAATAACTTGGACAGTGTTTTTGAAGTCAAAAGGTTATTATAAATGTCAAAATATTTTATAAGTTGTTAGGTTTTATTGTATAATCACAGTGATTGTGTTGCTACTCTATTTAAATCTGCTTTTGATTTTCAGGTTGTACCATTGACCCATCATGTATGGCAACAAGACAATAGTGTCTGTCAAGACAATAGTGGAATGCAGATTTTTGATACTAATGTGGTCCGTTTGGAAAAAAAAGCTCAGTGGGGATATAGGGGTGATCAGGTATGTCTTGTTTAACTGGCAAACTCCGTTGATAAACAGCATGAGAAATTCTGATTCAGCTGTAAAGAATGGAAAGATGAATTACGAATTACTCTAATCTGTTTTTCTGATAGATCTTTAACAACCTTATTTATATACTAGTTCATTTTCTATACCCCTCCCTATCGTCCTGCAGGACTCCTGTATATTCTTCAAAATCATTTGATACTTTGATAGACTATATCAATATCTATATCTACATCAATATTTTGCTTATTAGAAATTGAAACATTAAAATATTATAATTTTAAAATCATATAAAATTTATTTTAAAATAATTCATTACATAGTAACATAAATAATATATTTTAAAATGAAAAATGACTGTTTTCCAAAATAAAAAATACTATTTGGATGGGTGGCATTGTTTTTTATATTTTTTGCATATATTTTAATGTCAGAAACAGTTGTTATTTTAGAAAGGTTCTCCAGAAAAATTGAGCCAGTAGAAGACATATACATACATACCTATGTCAATACATCTGTATGTATATATATATTAAAAGGAATTGGCTCATATGATTATAGAGATTGAGAGTTCACAATATCTGCAACTTGGAGGCTAGTAAAGCTGATAATATAGTTCCAGTGTGACTCTGAAGGCCTAGGACCAGGAATACCTATGGTGTAAGTTGTAGTCCAAATTTGAATGCCCAGGAACAGACCAGCTGATGTGTAAGTTTAACTCTTCCTCTGGGTCTGGAGGCAAGAGAAGACTGGTATCTCAGCTTGAAGACAAACATGCAGAGAGTAGATTCTCTCTTGCATTGTCTGTTTTGCTGTTTAATCCTTTAATGGATTACATAAGACCTACCCACATTGGAAAGGGCAGTCTGCTTTACTCTGTCTATGGGTCTAAAGTTAATCTCAGCCAGGCATACCCAGAATAATGTTTAACCAAACATCTGGGCACCCTGTGGCCCAGTAGTTGACACATAAAATTAACTATTACAATTGGATTTTCTTATCTGCTTCTGCATTTGGTCTTTTGGGATGTATTGTTTTGGTTTAAGCAGGTGAAGAAAATGCTGTCTTACACAATAGGAAGTTAGAAAAGATAGGTCCACACAGGTTCCCTGAAAGGGTTAACCGTGACCCACAGTTATCCTTGGATCACATTTTAAGAAACCACTGATCTAGAATATAGTCATATACTTAAAAGGAATAGAAAGTTTTGAGCATATAAGAAAAAAAGCTCATGTTCGTTGTGGAAAAATGTAGCCTTACTCAATGATTGTAAATATTTAAGTTTGAGTATTAACCTGAGTATCACATTTCTTCTAGTACCGTCAGTTATCCACTAGATGCAAGATATGCAAGAAATGAGATTTGCTGTCACCGAGGGTAAGGGGTTGAGAGAACCCCAGACTAGGAACAGCACAGTACTTTGGAATCATTAAATGGAAGTGGGATCATTATGGGTTGAATTGTGTCCCTCAAAGTGATGGGGTAAAGTCCTAATCTCCAGAACCTCAGAATGTGAACTTATTTGGAAATAGGGTAATTGCTGATATAATTACTTAAATTGAGATGAGATCACGCTGGAGTAGGGTGGGCTCTTAATGCAGTATGGTTGGTGTCCTTATAAGAGAGAACACCATGTGAAGACAGAGACTGGAGTTGTGCTGCCATAAGCCAAGGAATGCCTGGGGCTAAGATGTAAGGAAGAACCTGCTCCTAGTAGCTTTGGATGTAAGCTGAATTCAACCCTGTGACTTCAGACTTCGCCTCTAGAACTCTGAGATAATTTCTTCCCTACCCTTGCCCCACTAGTTTTTATAGCTTTGTTATGGCAGCCGTAGGAAATGAATATAGGGGTATATCCCTAAGTAGGTTTTTTTCCTTCTTTTTTTTTTTTTTTCCCAGTAAAGAACAATAATCACTCTCTGGCCCAAATGTTTTGGTTCACATGGAACTACAACTTAGTCCTCTCCATACCTCCATATGTTGCCTAGAGAAAATGGGAACAAGTTAGATTTTCAATCCTTCCTCAACTCTATGTACCCCCATTCATAATACAGGCCAGCCAAAGGGCCTGGCTGGAGTTTATATAGGGTAGGTTTACTTTGCCTCCTCTATCTATACAGTCAGTGTAAAAAACACAGCCTGTGGTAAGCACCAGGAGGCCTCCCTGAGTTATTTAATATTCTTTGAGGGCATGTTTATGGTAGAGCAAAGTCTGAAAATAGATGTCTTTCTTTTGTTCTTTTCTTATAAAATACAAGCCTTGGGTGGATTCTGTATATTTTCATTTCTGCCTTTCTTCTGGATTCCTCATAATTCCTTAGAACTTTATGCCACTTTATAATTCTTTTCACCTTCTGGTTATTCTGCTCATTCATCCTTGTTTCTGTTATCTGAATTACCTTTTTATTCACTGAAAGCTACAGCCCTTGCTATAGTATCTTCTCTTAGTTTCTTTCACGTCAGCCTATTTTGTCTTATCTTATGCATGAAATTCTTAGATATTTGATCCAACCCGTAGGTGTCTTTTCTTATATTTGCCCTCTCAACTTTCTTCTATTCCCTCTCAATGCATGTTCACAGTCTAGACCTTCTCATCTGTAGCAGCTTGATACCAATGTCTCATCCTCTCCTTCCCTTCAATTACTACTCCATTTTTAATATTCTGCTACCCTATTAAGAACATTTTCAAAAAATTGTCTTTATTTCCTGATACCTTACTCATTAAAAATAATGATTTATTGAGGTATACTTTAAATGTAGCAAACTTCATTTTTGGTGTACTGTATGATGAGCTTTATACCACATTTGATTTGTTATATATAAGGTTGCTATCACCCCAAGAAAGTTCTTTTACCCGTTTGTGTAGTCAGTTATCTTTCTTATTGCTAGACCTTGGGAACCAGTGATCTGATTTCTGTCCCTATAGTTTTTTTAGACTTTTGAATCTGACTTCTTTTACTTGGCACATGCTTTTGAGATTCATGTGTTTGTATGAACCAATAGTTTGTTCTTTTAAAATTTTTATTATGGAGTAGCATTCCATTCATGTACAGGTTTTTAATAGACAATATGGTTTTCTCTTGAGTAAATACCTAGGAACAGGATTGCTGACTGATCTGGTAATAATATTTGTAAGATAAGAAAGTGCCAAACTATTTTCCAAAGTGACTAGCATTTTGTATTCTCCAGTATGTATGTGAGCTCTGGTTGCTTTGAATCCTTGGCAGCTCTTATTATTGTCAGGTGTTTTTTTTTTTTTTTGTAATTTTAACTCATTCTGGGTGTATTATCTATCATGTTCTCATATTTTTTCATCCTGTGGGTTTTTTTTTTTTTAAATCAGTAATATTCTCACAATTGTAACCATCTAAAATGTCTCCAAACATTACCAAATGTTTCATGACTGGGGTGTGTGTGGTGTGTGTCTATGATCTATTTTGAGTTGACTTTTGTATATGTTATGAAATAAGGGTCCAGTTTCTTTTTTTTCCCCTTTATATAAGAATATTTATTGTTATCTCTTTTGCTGAAAATAGTCTTTTTCTCTAGTGGATTCCTTGACATCTTTTTTTGTATTCTCTATTCTATTGACTTATATGTCTATCATTTCAACATAACTTTTTGCATTACTCTACGGTTTTGACATCAGATAGTCTGAGTTATCCCACTTTTCCGTCTTTAGAAATGGCTTTGTTTATGCTAGATTTTTTGAATTTCTTTCAGTTTCTATTTGAGAAATCTGCCCAATTTTGATTAAGATTGTCTTGAGTTTATAAATCAGTTTAGAGAGAATCAACATCTTAACAATATTGAGTTCCTGTAATCCACAGACAGCGTTTTTTTTGGTTTATTTTGTGTTCTGACTTCAATTCTGAAAGCAGATGTCGCCAACAGCATTTATTAGCTAAATACAGTGAACACTTTTCTGTCTTCATCCTGGCGTGCAATAAATAGCACTTGACACTGTTAATTACTGCATAACTTTTTTGGTGAGGTTTAATTGATTTGCCCTCAAAATTTGTTTTTATTCAGTCACTTTATTTGTTATCCCTGCTGACATCTGTCAAAAATATTCAGAAATTTGAGGGCTTTTTTTTTTTTAATATTTATTTTTATTTTTGGAAGAACTGGGGAATAGGCCAGAGGCATGAGAGGGTGAGAGGTTTCACCAGAGACAAAGTGGGGAACAGAACAGGCAGACAGACCAAAGGCACTGTTGAGGCGTAGCAGCAGGCAAGCAGGAGAGGTCTGTCATGCCATGTAGGTATCTACCTGGCTGGCCGGGGAATCGAACCTGCACTACAGAGGCTCTGGACAGCTTCACAGCGCTGTGCTCAACCCGCTGCACCACTGGGGAGGCCCAATTTGAGGGCTTTTTAATCTTGATTTAGAAGGGTATTGTAATACAAAGAGACATTGTGTGATAGAAACTTAACAAAACATGCAGAAAGAAAAGAGGTGTTTTCTAAAATTTATTTTATGATGGGGAGTTATAAGACTATGTTTCCATGGGGAGAAGAATAATTCCATAGAGGGAAAAATGGTTGAAGGAAAGTGGAAGAGTTACATATAGGAAGACAAACCAATGGGGGGAATGGAATTAGATGGGAAAACTTTTGATAGGTTGAGGTTTTTTTGGTAATAAGATAAAAATCAAGGTAGATAATGGATTCTGGATCTGTTGGTAGGATGATAAGCTAGTTTCATCTCCTTATATTCACTTACTGAAGTAGGAGATGATATTATCAGTTGAAAATGAGAGAGTTCAGTAGTCCAGAGGGAGTTCAGAGTTTTAGTAGTGAGATCACCAAGAATATGTAGTATAATTTCCAGGCACAACTGAGTGCACTTGAGTTTCAGTCATCAGTTTAAAGAAAAAAACAGTCTGGGGTCTCCCCTGGTGGCACAGAGGTTGAGCGCTGGGCTGCAAAGCTGCTCGCAGCCTCTGCAGCACCAGTTCCATCCCCAGCCACTGGTGAGGGTCCCACATGGCGCCCAGACCTCTCCTGCCGCCCACTGCTCCCCTCAGCAGTGTATTTCGTCAGTCTGCCTGTTCTGTTCCTCGCTCTGGCTCTGGTGAATTCTCTCACCCTCCCAAGCTTCTGACTGTACCCAGTGCTTATATAAATGAATAAATAAAATCTTTAAAAAAAAAGTCTGAATGCGTGCTTCTTTCTGAAATGTGCTGTTGTATGCTTAGATATAAATGGAATTCAGAGAAGGAAAATGTTCAGCCAGAAATGAACTAGCAAGAAAGTTAAAGATGTTTGTAAAGCATTGATTATATAGGTAGCTTTGAACTCTCAGATAGGTAAAGAGGGAAATACAGCAAAGAAAGGAATGATGGAAGGTATAAATGTGATAGGATAGTTGTCTTCATAAAGTTAAAGAATGATTGCAGTTGAGAAGTTACAGTAGAGTAAGTGGTCTGTGGAAGTCAGAGGATGACCAGGAGAACAAATGGATAGGTCCTTACCAGTGGTGAAGAATAAATTATGGGCCAGATTCAAATCTTGGTCAAATCAGAGGGATTGTAAGATGAGTCAGGGACTAAGGTTTTACTGTAGAATCACAGAAGGATTGGAATTCTCTGGCTTTAAAATACTTCATAGCCCACTCTCCTCTATGGAATGAAGTACTCTCAAAAGAAGAAATTGAAATTTCATAGTTTTCTTATTTTATTTCTAATATCAAAAATGTACAAAACATGTTTCTTTTTCTTTTTTTTTCAAATAAATTTTATTTTTATATTCCCCATACAATTGCAACCCCCTTATTTTGACCCCAATTCCTCCCCTCCCCGAACCCCACCCCCCCATAGGGTGTCTCTGGTTCATAGTTTTTTTGTTGATTTTGATTTTCACTTTCTTATAGTTATTCATTTTTCCTGGTCCCTTATTTAAGTTTTCTAGATTCCTGCTATGAGTGAGACCATCTGGTATTTTTCCTTTTCTTTCTGGCTGATTTCGCTGAGCATGATCCCTTCCAGCGCCATCCATGTTGCTGCAAATTGCATGTGTTTATCTTTTTTGAATGCTGAGTAATATTCCATGGTGTATATGTACCACATCTTCTTGATCCAGTCATCTATTTTTGGACATTTGGGTTGTTTCCAAAGCTTAGCTATTGTAAACAGTGCTGCTATAAACATAGGGGTGCAGGTGCTCTTTGGAATTGATGTTTCTGTGTCCTTTGGGTAAATACCTAGGAGTGGAATTGCTGGATCATATGGAAGCTCTATGTTTAGTAGGTCAAGAAATCTCCACACAGCTCTCCATAGTGGTTGGACCACTTTGCACTCCCACCAACAGTGCAGAAGAGTTCCTTTTTCTCCACACCCTCGCCAACATTTGTTGTTGCTAGTTTTTTTAATACGTGCCATTCTACTGGTGTAGAGATGGTATCTCATCGTAGTTTTGATTTGCATTTCCCTGATTGCAAGTGATGTTGAACATTTTTTCATATGCCTGTTGGCCATTTGTATTTCCTCTTCAGAGAAGTTTCTTTTTAGCTCTTCTGCCCATTTTTTGACTGGATTATTTTCTTTGTTGTTGTTGAGTCTCATCAGCTCTTTGCAGATTTTTGTGATCAGTCCTTTATCATTACTGTTGTGTGCAAAAATGTTCTCCCAGTCGGTGGGGTTACTCTTTGTTTTTGTTATTGTCTCTTTTGCTGTGCAGAAGCTTTTTAATTTGATGTAGTCCCAGCTGTTTATCTTTGCCTTCACTATCACTGCTTTGGGTGATGTGTCTGTAAAGATGTCTTTGATATGCATATCATGTAGTGTTTCGCCTATATTTCCTTCTATGTATTTTATGGTTTCTGGTCTTATGTCTAGTTCTTTAATCCATTTTGAGTTGGTTTTTGTGTATGGTGTCACCCAAAGCTAAATAAAGAAGAAATAGAACACCTAAACAGACCATTACAAGCAGCGAAATTGAAATGGTAATCAAAAACCTCCCCAAAAACAAAAGCCCAGGACCTGATGGATTTACAAATGAATTCTACCAAATATTCAGAGATGAATTAGTGCCTATCCTTCACAAACTCTTCCAAAAAATTGAGAAGGAAGGGACAATACCAAACACGTTCTATGAAGCCAACATTACACTAATACCAAAACCGAACAAGGACAACACAAAAAAGGAAAACTACAGGCCAATCTCCCTAATGAACACTGATGCAAAAATCCTCAATAAAATTTTAGCTGTCTGAATCCAACAATGTATCCATAAGATAATTCACCACGACCAAGTAGGATTCATTCTAGGGACACAAGGATGGTTCAACATCTGAAAATCAATCAACATTATCCAACACATCAACAAAAAGAAAGATAAAAACTATATGATAATATCAGTAGATGCTGAGAAAGCTTTCGACAAAGTGCAACACCCATTCATGATAAAAGCCCTTGAAATTCTTGGGATACAAGGAACATACCTCAACATCATAAAGGCCTTATATGACAAGCCAACAGCCAGTATCATTCTCAATGGTGAAAAGCTGAATGCATTTCCATGAAGATCTGGAACAAGACAAGGATGTCCACTCTCACCACTGCTTTTCAATATAATACTGGAAGTCCTAGCCAGAGCAATAAGACAAGAGAAAGACATACAAGGAATCCAAATAGGAAAAGAAGAAGTCAAACTATCACTATTTGCAGATGATATGATAATATACATAGAGAACCCCAAAAACTCCACAGAAAAACTAATTCAACTCATCAATCAGTTCAGTAAAGTGGCAGGATACAAAATCAACACGCAAAAGTCAGTAGCCTTCCTATGCACAAACAATAAATCTGAAGAAGAAGAAATCAAGAAAACCATCCTTTTTATTATCGAAACAAAAAAAAAAATCAAATACTTGGGAATAAATCTAACAAAAGAGGTAAAGGACCTATACAAAGAAAACTATAAAACACTGTTAAAAGAAATAGAAGAAGACACAAAGAAATGGAAAGACATCCCCTGCTCATGGATTGGAAGAATAGGCATTATTAAAATGGCCATCCTACCGAAAGCAATATACAGATTCAATGCTATTCCAATAAAAATTTCACTGTCATTCTTCAAAGAAATAGAACAATTATTCATGAAATTCATATGGAATCACCAAAAACCCCAAATAGCCAAAGCCCTCCTGAAAAAAATAAAAGAAGGGAATGGAGGCATCACACTCCCAGACTTCAAACTATACTACAAAGCCATAATCATCAAAACTGCATGGTATTGGAACAAGAACAGACACACAGACCAATGGAATCAAATAGAAAATCCAGAAGTAAACCCACAGATTTATGGTCAACTAATTGACAAAAGGAGCAAAGAATATGCATTGGAGCAAAGAAAGTTTGTTCAAGAAATGGTGCTGGGAAAACTGGGTTGCTACATGCAAAAGAATGAAGCTTGACTACTACCTCACACCATACACAAAAATCAACTCAAAACATGTTTTTAATAGCAAATTGATGATATAAATTTGACTTATTTATTAACTATAGAAAAGATCGAAACATTATTTTTTATAATAAATTTTATTTTTATATTCCCCATACAATTGCAACCCCCCCATTCTGACCCCAATCCCTCCCCTCCCGCCCTCCACCCCCCAAAAAGTATCTCTGGTTCATAGCTTTTTGTTGATTTTGATTTTCACTTTCTTATAGTTATTCATTTTCCTGGTCCCTTATTTAAGTTTTCTAGATTCCTGCTATGAGTGAGACCATCCGGTATTTTTCTTTTTCTTTTTGGCTTATTTCACTGAGCATGATCCCTTCCAGTGCCATCCATGTTGCTGCAAATTGCATGTGTTTATCTTTTTTGAATGCTGAGTAATATTCCATGGTATATATGTACCACATCTTCTTGATCCAGTCATCTATTTTTGGGCATTTGGGTTGTTTCCAAAGCTTAGCTATTGTAAACAGTGCTGCTATAAACATAGGTGTGCAGGTGCTCTTTGGAATTGATGTTTCTGTGTCCTTTGGGTAAATACCTAGGAGTGGAATTGCTGGATCATATGGAAGCTCTATGTTTAGTAGGTCAAGAAATCTCCATACAGCTCTCCATAGTGGTTGGACCAGTTTGCACTCCCACCAACAGTGCAGGAGATTTCCTTTTTCTCCACACCCTCGCCAACATTTGTTGTTGCTAGTTTTTTTAATATGTGCCATTCTCACTGGTGTAAGATGGTATCTCATGGTAGTTTTGATTTGCATTTCCCTGATTGCAAGTGATGTTGAACATTTTTTCATATGCCTGTTGGCCATTTGCATTTCCTCTTCAGAGAAGTTTCTTTTTAGCTCTTCTGCCCATTTTTTGACTGGGTTATTTTCTTTGTTGTTGTTGAGTCTCATCAGCTCTTTGCAGATTTTTGTGATCAGTCCTTTATCATTAGTGTTGGGTGCAAAAATGTTCTCCCAGTCGGTGGGGTTTCTCTTTGTTTTTGTTATTGTCTCTTTTGCTGTGCAGAAGCTCTTTAATTTGATGTAGTCCCAGCTGTTTATCTTTGCCTTCACTATCACTGCTTTGGGTGATGTATCTGTAAAGATGTCTTTGATGTGCAAATCACGTAGTGTCGAAACATTTTTTAATGTCAAAATTCTATTGTTCTATAATCTCACAAGCCATAAATGAGTAGTGCTAAGTTTTAGGATGTTTCTTTCAAAAATTTTTTTCTGTTTGCATTTATATGTTTAAATAACTGGTACTAGGTAATGAATAGTTGTGTATTTTTGTTTTTAAACTTACTGAAAAAGCAGTTGATTAATGAATTTTAGATAGTGACAATGACTCAAGAGAAAAAAGTCTTGTTTTAAAATATTTGTGAAAATCTTTCTAAATTGTAATACATCTTCTTTGTATGGAATTTGGGTCATTTAGGAATAAAAAAATACATGTTCTCTTAAAAATATTCAAGTGGATCAAAGAAAAGTTTAGTAATAGACTATTTAAAAACAATGAAAATCAATACATTTACATCTAAGCATAGGTTTCTATGAATATGTCATCTTCTCATCTTTATATTTAAATAAGTAAATGTGCAACCAAATGAATTTATTATTTAATGAAAATTTCAGATACATAAAAAACTGCACATAGGAAGTATAGTAAAGAAAAAATGGAAATAATTCTTAGAAAATATAGTAAATTCAAGAAGAAAAAGTGGTTACATTTCTAATCTAGTCAAAAAAAAAGCTTTAATGAAAGATTTTAATGCAAACATATAAAAGTATAGAGGTAGACTAATGCTATTGGGGAGGAAATTGAGAATGTTAGAATAGTACCAGCTATCAAAAAGGTTTCTGGCCTTAATGGATTCATTGATGAACTCTTTCATATTTTTAAGGAAAATTCAATTTCCTTGTAAATAATAAATATAGAACCAAGTTATGGAGCAAGGTTAGAAAACAAGGCAAAGCTGTCTAAAATCTTGATTAATCTTATGACTATTGTGAAAATGTTAAGGATAATACTAGCAAATATGATTAAAAACCTAAACTACCTTATAAGAGTGTGAGATATAAAGATATTTATTGATATACCTTATTGGATTTAATTGGGAAAAATTTTATAACAATCAAATTTATGCTTTATTCTTAATCAGATTAGTTAAATATGAAAATAAAAGACACTTTTATGGCATAATAGGAAGAACTCAACTATTAATACCAAATTTATAAGGAAAATGCCTATAAAACTGGTTATCATTAGTATTTAATTCAACCTGCTACATAGTGTGGTCTGTGTATTGATGCCAGTCCATGAATTATTTGTTACTGGTTTATCAAAAGACAAGTACAAAAATTGAGAGGCGTTTCATGGTAATGTTATGTTTTGCGGAATTAGAAATCAGATTTTGGGCCTGTGTTTTGCATATATATATCTTTAAAATTTCTTTTTTCTAATTTTTTTCTTTTTCTGTTCTTAAATGTAAATCTGCTTCACAATGTGTTACTGAAAAGGGCACAGAGTATTGTAACAGCATAGAAATACACTAGATAAGATTCCATGTTATTTACTGGGATCATCTGTATTCATTTTTTGGGATAGTGGGGACTGAAATTCAACAATAAAGCTTCTAAATATTGGGAAAAAATATACTAAAAGGAGCTAAGAGTCCATTAGAAACTAGCATAGTAAGAATTTGGTAAAATGAGAATATTGTAGCTTTAGGTTTGGAAAATATTTTTTCTCTCTTAATGTAATCAAGTCATAAAATTTAATCATGCACAATCAAATTTGTTGTTTTAATGACCAGAACTAATTCTTAAAGTATGACAGTGATTTTAAAAGGTAGGTAGTACAGGGAAGAGATTTAACAGGTACTTAATATTACGAAAAATGGAAAAAAATACCTTTCCTTTTTCCAAACCATTTTGATTTGACTTCATTTGAATGTCATCAAATTAGAAACGATATGCTTTGTGACTGGACATTCTAGTCTAAATATTAATATGTATCTTAACTCAATAATGACTTAGCATGCTTTCTTTTAAAACTATTGTTTTAGAGAACAGAATCTTGGGATTGTCTTCCTCAAGAAATGGACTCTTCCCAAACTTTGACTACACCTAAGACCAGGTTTAATGTGAGAGAGGAAGAGACCAAAGTGACAGATTTCCCCTCTCTGGAGGAAGGTGTATTGACCCAATCAGAAAATCATGTAAAGGAATCCAACAGAGATCTCCTGTGTTCTCCTTTGCTTGGTAATGCCTCTTTATTTTAACTAGTAATAATACCTCACATTTGTAAAATATTTTGGGCAACAGCAAGCCCTGCAACAACATCCTTTCTTGAGGAGTTCTGTAGAGCTGAGAAAGGTGTTTTTTGGTTATCCACACTAGCCAGAAGGTCTAGATATGTTAAATATGTAGTTGTTATGCCCTCTTGTCATAGAAGACAGAAACATGACTGCCTCTCTAGTGGGATGTGCCCCCTTAGTCCTGAATTTGCAGATTTTCGTTAGGGTAAACTAAGAAATGTCATGTCATCCTTTGACTGTTTCTCTCAGCAGTGGTGACACCATGACTCTTAAACAAACAACAACAAAAAAACCCAAATATTTATATTTACCTCATTAGATACTTACAATTAACTAAGGCATATGTTATTATTTTCAAGTTTTCAGACCCAAAAATTAGATAAAGAGCTTAAATGTCTTAGATCAGGTAGATTTTACTGCTTTCTCTGTTCAGTAAAACTAATTTAGTAGTTCTTCACAAAAGGTAAACTCTAAATACCTTTCAAATCACAAAAGTAGGAGATAGAATTATACTGTGGATATATATGAGTCCTTAAGCAATAGGTTAATTTAAATTGTTTTATACCTGAACTATGAAATTAAAAAATGCAGCAGCTACATATTTTAGAATTAGTTTTTGTCAGGGGGATGGGATTCAATCCAAGTTGTCTTGTCAGAGTTTTGTAGAAGAGTAGGAATAGGAGTTAACTCAGTAAGTTCTTTTCAAATTTAAGCTAATGATGTATTAATGCCAATGTATTCTCTGATGTGGATCAGCAAAGTCAGTTTTAGTTTCATAATATCATAAACATGTTGATAGCACCAGATTTTATAGTGGAAATAGATGACTATGACTACAGGCCATAGGCCAAGCCTGATTTTGTACTTTACACGAGCTAAGAGTGGATTTTGTATTTTTAATTATTTATTTTTAAAGATTTATTTATTTATGCATGTAAGAACTGGGTTGTAAGCTAGAGGTGCCAGGGGGTGGGGGGGCTGTTAAGAGGAGTCACCAGAGAGAGTGGGGAGCAGAACAGGCAGATGCACTGAAATACACTGCTGAGGGGAGCAGAGGGCAAGACAGGAGAGATCTGCTGCGCCATGTGGGTTGTTCCCTGGCCTGCTGGGGATTGAACTCAGTGCTGCAATGACTGCTGATAGCTTGATAGTGCTGTCTTTAACCCCTGCACCATCAGGGAGGCCCTGGATTTTATATTTTTAAAAGGTATATAGAAACCAATAAAAGAATATGACCATATGTGACCAACAAAGTTGTAATCATTTACTAGCTGGACTTTTATTAAAAAGTTTGCTAATTACCAGTGTAGAGGGTAAAATGAGACTATATAACATAAGGTGGCTGTTTTTCAACTTGATAAAAGAAAGAATTCTCTAATAGAGCCATTTAACAGTGGAAAAGCCTATATAAAAAAGCTAGCAAGTGAGTTTTATATCATTGCAAAATTTCAGGCAAAATCCTATAATAGAATTTCAGCATTGGAGATGAGATTGTGGCTTCTAAAATATTTTCTAATGAGTTTTTTAACTCCAGCTTCTCATTTACTATAGATAAAGTAGAATATTTTTATTTAGTACAGCAATTCCTGGATCTGATGGCCAGTGGAAATTTCATTATTGTTGTTTTGTAATGCATGAAACAGTGATTGTAGTGTGTATTAGTCTCACCATTGGCAATTTTCATGACAATATGTGGTGCCACAGTGGTTAGCTATCTCACTTTTGTTCTCATAGTGATCTAAGCCACCAACAGCTGTCCAAGGGTGAGGAAATGTGAGGACTTCGTTTAAAAAAAACCTTGAACACCATGGCTAGATCTCAAGCAGCTTAGATGGGAGGCTGAACGTGATGGCTGGCAACACAACACATAAGAATTATATTAACAAGAAAAAGAAAAATTCAAATGTTGTTGAAAACCACTCAAAAACAAAATAAACAAACAAACAAAAAACCAAAGAAAATGAATGTTTCCTAATAAATAAATTAAAATTCTTACTCTTTAAAAAAAAAGGCCATGATTTAAAGAGGTCTAAAGGACTTTTGTTACAGTGGTTTAAAACTGAGTCTCCAAGTCAGGACCAAAGAAGAGCATACCAGGTGGTCTTTGGTGATAAAGGTATTATTATCTTTTAGTTTTTCACTTTTAATTAATTTAGTAAATAAATAATTTTCTTTTGAATGCCTAGAAAGGTGCTTTGCTAAGTATTGAGGATAGAACTGTGAATAAAACAGACATGAAATTGACAGTTTAGTGGGAAACTTAACCAAAGACAACAGAGTGATAGTTATGAAAAGGAATGTATGCAGCATTATAGGTATTCTGAAATCAAGAAAGTACACTATACCAACAGTGAAAGCACATTGAAAGTACAATTCAATGGTATTTCTGCTGCTGTTATTACATTATCATGGAAATAGTCACATTGAAAGCAAAATTTATTTTTAGTAAAATATCACTCACCAACCCACTTAAATTAATGATAAATAGAATGCTGTTGGTTTTATAGTTTTGTTTCTTATTAATATTTGATTTTTTTGTTTTGTAGTTGCATACATACTATAAGAAATAAGGACTTTATATCTAATTTGTACATATTTAAGGACATTAGAATAAGAATTATTTAAGTCAGCATTCAGGAATCCACAAGAATTTTTTTCTTTTAAGTCATCAATTCTCAAACTTTCTGTCATAGAACTCCCTTACATACTTTAAAATTACTGAGTATTCCAAAGAGCTTTTGTTTATGTGAGTTACTGGTATTTTCTCATAGTAGAAATTAATATGGAGAAATTAAAATATATTTATTTATTGACTCATTAAGGAATAACCTCATTGCATATTAACATAAATTACAGTTTTATAGAAAAAATAAGCTTTCCATTTCCAAAACAGAAATATTTAAAAAGTAGCATTGTTTTGCTTCAAAAAAACCCTCCATAATCTCTGACTTAATAAAAGGTAGATTCTGATATCTGTTTCTGCATTTGTTGTGTTGCTATGTCATGTATGGTATAGCTTCTGGAAAATTTCCCTGTATCTTTGTGAAGGAATGAGAATGAAGAAGGCAAATGATAACTTAATATTGTTTTGGATATAAACTTGACTTTTAAGTACCTCCTGAGAGTGTCTTAGGGATGCTGTGGAGCACATAGACCTTACTTTTTTTTTTTTTTTGTAAGTACTAATATCTTTATTATGGCATAAAGCATTATTTTATACATTAACTCAATTTTACAGTAAAAACATTTTATATACAACTGTAAATAAAATGGCTGCACATATAGCTCCAACATAAAAATGGGTTGTATTTTAAAAGTTAATTGAGTTGATACATAAATTGGAAAATACTTTCTCTGTAGAAAAGAGTAAAAATGGTAACAATTCCCAGGCTTAGCCCAACAAGACCATTTAGACCAAGTGGTAGCTGAATTATATATTTACATATATTGTTTGAATTCTGGGATTCAGGAGAATCTTTAACTTCACTTATTCCAACAGCCATGTTTTCCATAGAATTAAATTGCATAAAGCAGAATTCCTTTTAATCTTCCTCCTTACTCTTGATTTATGCCTGATTTTTATTTAGGCTATTCCACATCAAAGTTTTAGCAGTTCCTTCCCAGGGGATGTATCCTTTTATTCTTATTAATGGGGCACCCATTCCTATTCAAATCTTGAAATGTTTTGGTTGTTACTATTGCACATAGACCTTACTTTGATGTAAGTTGGAAAGACACATAACAGTTAAGAACACTTACTATAAAAAGTTATAATGCTTAGATTCAGATCTTACTCTGGAACATGAACTATTTGAATGTAGACAAACTAATATTTTTGAAGTCTTGTAATCATATAAAACTGAAGATGGATATAATTCCTATCCTTTGAAGATTGTCGTGAGAATTAAGTGAAATCCTGTCAAATGTTTGGACTTTGTCAGGGGGGAATCAATAAATGGTAGTTACTGCTGCTCTTGTTACATTATCATTCTTGTGCTTGCAGAAAGTTTCAGATGTCAGTATATTTAGGCTTTCTAAAGCATTATGAGAGTAAGCTAAATAATTTTTAGCATTGTCAGCATTTTTATATTTGAAACCTTGCAGTCATACAAGACAACTTTGCTTCTCCTGATTTGCCTTTGCTGACATGTGTGACACGAGATCTAGAGTTTGGGCCTGATTCCTTATTTCAGCAAAGTGAAGTAGATTTTGCACCTCTGAGGTAGGATGATTTCTTTTTTACTTGTAAGGAATCTTTCTACTCTTTTTTTTCCTTCTATATTGTTAGTAGTATTAATGACTTCAAGCTAAGGTTAGACTTTGCTGTGGGGGTTAGATATTCTCAGCACTATCCAGAGGTAACAAAGCATAATGCATATTAATATGGTTATAGTAACGTGTGGTAGAAATGACTTGTATCTACTGTAATCTGGTATCTCAGTCATGGTTTAATTTAGAAGGCACACTGTATTTTCCTCCTTTGAAATCTCCCCTTTTGCTGTACCATCAGTCCACCACCATTCTATGAAAAAACATTCATTTTGTGGTAACTCACTTGTTTGGTACAGCTGTTACTGCATGAACTGAGTTACATTATCTCTCCTTAGGTGTGAATATGAAGTAACATTCATATCCAAACTAACAGTTTCTCTAAATTAATGCCCCTTAGAATAGTAATAATAGGTGAAAAGTCTGGAATTCTTTAAAACGTATATGAAATTTTCCAAGAATTTGTTTTCCTCTTTTAGAGCTAAAAATAATAAACCAACAGCAACAAAAAACCCCAAGTGTTGTATTAAAAGCTGTGGATATTTAGAGAGTAAAATCCTCCACCTTTCTGCTGGGTATTACTTTGAAATTACTTTTATGCAAGGTGCTCTGTACACATTAGTCAGCCTATGATTAGATTACTGTTGTATTTTTGAGAGTAGATCACTAATGAAGTGCTTTTTCAGAGCATAATATATGACTGGTAGAAGAATTAATGCAAATCAGTGAATATTAAATCATGGTAACATTTTAAGTAGTAAAGTTCAAAATTTTCCATTAAAGATTTTTGGGCAATATGTAAATACTCATTTTTAAAAAAATACTGTCTCAGGACGATCCTGAGTAAATATCAAGGTCTTTATTAGCTTCTGGTCAACAAAAATTTGCTTTGTTTAGTCATTAGCCGTCTTAAAGGAATTTGAAATTAGAACTTTGGTTTTCAATACAGTTTTTAAATAACCTGATTTCAGTGATATACCAGCTTTTTTTTTTTATGTTGGATTAAAAAAAAGTTTTTAATACATTATTTTTATTTTTAATTGTATATTTTCAGGAGAATTCCTGGTAAGTCTGAAGACACTGAATGGTTTTCTCGACCATCGGAAGTTAGTGAAGCACTATTCCAGGCAGCCTCAAAAGTAGCTTCAGACTTAGTTAACAATTGCTTTAGTGTGTCTCAGCACCCACATACAGGTAGTACAACTGTTGGGTCTCAGTACTCTTTTTTACCTCCTGAACAAGGCTCTAAAGAAGAGACTATTTCATCTGAAACAGTTGATGAACTGAAAACCCCCAAAGACTCTGATAGTTATGATGCTCTTTGTTCATATATGTCATGGAAGACACAAGAAGTTATACAGGAGCCAGAAACCAATTTAGGTGATAAAGATCAAGTCTCTATTTCAACTTCAACTGATGTAAGTGATGAGTATATAATTCCTAAAGGAAGTGAGCATTTTGGTGCTTCTTGTTCATATGTGCAATATTGGAATCGGAAAACTTTACAGCAGTCAGAAAAATATTTAACCAGAAAGGACCATGATTCTTTTTCAGATTCATCTGACACAATTGATAAAAATAAAATTCCTAAGGGAAATGACAGTTTTAGTGCCCCATTTTCATATATGCCGTGCAGCAAGCAGGGAGCTTCACATTATCCAAAAATATGTCCAATTAGTATGGACTATGTTTCTTTTCCACATGAAGTTGCTCCTCATTTTAAGAATGAAATTTCATGTTCTTTCTTGCATTGTTTGTTGGGAAGAAGAGGAAAAGAGTTTCCCTTAATGTCTGGTAGTCATTGTTTTGAGAGTGTTTATTTAGGGGCTTCAGCTGAGAATAAGGTGAAACAAAAAATGGATTCATTGGAGGGTTATGAAAGAAATGAAGAAGGTCTGGGGAAAGAATTACCTCAATATTTTGATCTAAAGGAGGATAGAAATACTTTAGAATTTTCAGAGGTACATCCCAGATCTTCAAAAATACAATATATTGAGAATATAGTTCCTGATAACTCTGTAAAAGTTTCAAAAGTGCGTGATACCTTTAACATAGAGACTTCAGGTGGCCCTCTTCAGACTGTTAAATCCAACTTGGATGAAACATCAGAACAACTGTATTTTCAAGAGGAAAGAAACCAAAAGGCAACTTTTGCATTTGGTGGGGGAAATGTTGATGCTTCTGAAAATATAGCCTTTGAGGCAGTTATTGCCTCTATTGAGCCTTCCAAGAAAGAGCGTGTAAGAAACGAAATCCAGACTGATATCACTAAGTCTTTAACAAATGACAGCCAAGAAAGTGAACCAGAAATTTCAGATCTTTCCCTCTTAAGTTATGATGAAAACTTTTTCTTTGATAGCCACCCATGTTATCAGTCAACTCCTGGGGTTTTTGAACAAGCTGCCTCAAGACCATTGTTGCATAAAAAAGATGGTGATGACAGCTCCCTGTACTGGCATCCTAATTTAAAATCACCCCCCATTAATTCTCAGGAAATATTTATTAACCCATTTTCTGTTACTCCAGAACTTAAGTCATCTTTAAGTGAAAAAGCTCTTGGTCTTGGCAAAATGCAATCACCTTTATTTCAGTGTGATACAAACAATGAACCTTTTCTTCCCATTGGGAAGATAAAGTCTGTTTCTGCTCTTGATCTTGCAGTGAAGGTAGGTTCTTCAAATATTTTTTTTCCAGTGAAAGTATCAACTTCAGATTCTTTGGTTTCACAAGATTTTAAAGAACTTACAGATTTCTCAAACTGTACTTTGGGTAAGAATGTAAACTCTAATAACATCACTGAAGGGCCACCTTCAGCTATAGGAAGCAGCTTTTCAGCAAACTTGGTGTCATGTGATGTGGAGTCACAAGGTGCTTTACCATTGACCAGTGATGCATCACTAATTGCAGTTGGCCAAGAGATATTGCTGAAAGCTGACATAGGCCAAGGTGAAATTCCTCAGCCTATGGGAGCCAAGTGCAGTTTTACTATACATACTATTATGCAAAATGACTCCTATTTTATAGAGGGCCTGCAGGGGAAGGCTGAGTCTGACATCTGTACTCTGGATGATGATATTGAATCCTGTAGCCTAGATGAAAACGCTGTTGTATGCAGTGAAAGAGTTGCTGAACTACAAAGAGAGGTGAGGCACAATAAAATGATAATTTGGGGAAGCTTAATCTTTTCCAGTATTATTTCATGAAATGGTATTGTTACTTGCTTTTATTTTACTTTCTACTACTTCCTAGATATGTGACCAAGGTGACTTGACTAGTGAGTGCATTGAACTAGCAGGTTTAGAAAATGTGCTTGATCAAGACATTGGCAGAAGCTCCCTACACTGGAAATCTCCTTTAAAACTGCCATCTAAGGAAGAGGGCAGTTTTGAAGAACCTGTAAGTTTTTCTTTTTGACACTTATGGGATAGGGAGAGAAATATTTTATGGAAATAAAAGAATAAAGGTCTCCATTTATGTTATCTGATGTAATCTTATGATTTGTAAACTGGTCTTCATCTGATATCCACAAATATGCTCCATTAATTTGTTAGAGATTAGCACAGAAGAAATGTTTATGTTTCAGTCTTGAAAGACTTAGTGAGTTCTCTTAGTGTTTTAGAAAAGACCATCCTTTGAAGCTCCCAGGCTCATTTCTTGAGGCATCCTTATTCTTCCAAGTTGTGCCAGCAAGAACCGTTAGGACAGTGTTAAGAATAGGCGCAAGGGGTTAAGCGTCAGTACTGTGAAGCAATCCATAGCTACTGCTGCACAAGTTCAATCCCTGCCAAGGGAGGTGACCTACATGGCCCAGCAGACCTCTCCTGTTTTGCCTGCTGCTCCCCTCAGCAGTGTATTTCAGTCTGTCTGCCTGTTCTGCTCCCCACTGTCTCTGGTGAATCCTCACCACCCCCCCGCCCTTGCCCACAGCACCTCTGGCCTACACCCCACCTCTTGTATGCATAAATAAATCTTTAGGAAAAAGATAACATGGAGAGACATTCACTTGTGCTTTTTTTCCTCTGGCCTTCAATATACAGCCTTGGAAAGACTCTGAAATATTCAAGTATTTCTTCTTAGGAGCTCCTAAAAGATTTAACTTCAGAGATACCTGTATCTTGAAATTATAAGAGCCATTGTTTCCCTAGGAAGGATACTGAGGTGCTTAATGTCCAAAGTTCTCATTATTCCCAGAGGAACTGACATATACACATTCCCTTTCTCTCTTTTTATTTCATTATCATGTATGTGTCCAGAAAGTGGTAATCTTGGGATATTATAAAAATCGTGTGTCAACCTTTTATACAGGGGTTCATTTGCCTGGATGCTTTGACTTTTTTTTTTTTTTTTTTTTATAAATTTTATTGTTATATTCCCCATACAATTGCAGCTCCCCCATTCTGACCCCAATCCCTCCCCTCCCGCCCCCGCCCCCCTAAAAGTGTCTCTGGTTCATAGTTTTTTGTTGATTTTGATTTTCACTTTCTTATAGTTATTCATTTTCCTGGTCCCTTATTTAAGTTTTCTAGATTCCTGCTATGAGTGAGACCATCCGGTATTTTTCTTTTTCTTTTTGGCTTATTTCGCTGAGCATGATCCCTTCCAGCGCCATCCATGTTGCTGCAAATTGCATGTGTTTATCTTTTTTGAATGCTGAGTAATATTCCATGGTATATATGTACCACATCTTCTTGATCCAGTCATCTATTTTTGGGCATTTGGGTTGTTTCCAAAGCTTAGCTATTGTAAACAGTGCTGCTATAAACATAGGGGTGCAAGTACTCTTTGGAATTGATGTTTCTGTGTCCTTTGGGTAAATACCTAGGAGTGGAATTGCTGGATCATATGGAAGCTCTATGTTTAGTAGGTCCAGAAATCTCCACACAGCTTTCCACAGTGGTTGGACCAGTTTGCACTCCCACCAACAGTGCAGAAGAGTTCCTTTTTCTCCACACCCTCGCCAACATTTGTTGTTGCTAGTTTTTTTAATATGTGCCATTCTCACTGGTGTAAGATGGTATCTCATGGTAGTTTTGATTTGCATTTCCCTGATGACAGGTGATGTTGAACATTTTTTCATATGCCTGTTGGCCATTTGCATTTCCTCTTCAGAGAAGTTTCTTTTTAGCTCTTCTGCCCATTTTTTAACTGGATTATTTTCTTTGTTGTTGTTGAGTCTCATCAGCTCTTTGCAGATTTTTGTGATCAGTCCTTTATCATTAGTGTTGGGTGCAAAAATGTTCTCCCAGTTGGTGGGGTTTCTCTTTGTTTTTGTTATTGTCTCTTTTGCTGTGCAAAAGCTCTTTAATTTGATGTAGTCCCAGCTGTTTATCTTTGCCTTCACTATCACTGCTTTGGGTGATGTGTCTGTAAAGATGTCTTTGATGTGCAAATCACGTAGTGTTTCGCCTATATTTCCTTCTATATATTTTATGGTTTCAGGTCTTATGGATGCTTTGACTTTAATGTGTCTTTTTGGCTCTAGGTCCCATTGTACATCTTTTATCTGTCAGCTCCAATCTGAATTCTCCTTTCTTTTAAAAAAAAAAAAAATGAGTTTCTAATTTTCTTGTTAGTATTACTATGTCAACTTTTTATGTTTAAAGAAATGAAAGTATATATTTAGTTAAGTGATAGGCTGATTTTAACTGATCATAGTCCCAATTTTAATTTTCTCTTACTGTAGCCTTAAGTATATTTTTTCAGTCTAGGGAGGATGCTGTTCCTTTTATTGTCCTTAACTCTTAGCTCTGTTTTCTAGTCTGGAGTTAAATAATGCTGATATTAGGGAACAAGGGAGCCCAATATGTCAGTATCTTTCTGTGTATCTCAACTTGCTGTTCGGGAACTTGTCTATACTTTGTTCTTTATTCTCATCTGTGTTTCAGATGTATTGTTCGTTCTCGTTTGCCTCACTTTGATACCTACTCATTATCTCTAGATAATTATTTGGTTGTCTGTTAATGTATCATGCAGCTTGGGTCTATGCAAAGAGCATAGAGATTTGGAATCAAAACCTTGTTCGGTTACTGTCTGTGCCTTGGACAAATTACATATGTTATATATATGTTGATGAATTGCACTTCGAAAAAATTTCTTGTGAAATGTTTAGATAAAGCAAGATTTTTGTGCATGATTGTCACTTTGTATTGGATAGTTCTTTATCCTGGGGGGACGTTCCGTGCATTTTTGCATTGATGTTTATCAGCATATTTGTTTTCTGCTCTGAGTGCCAGTTGCATTTGTCCTCTCCCCCAAAACTTCTGACAGTGAAAAATGTCTCTAGATATCACCAAATGTGCCTTGGCGGGGGAAAGGTTGGTGGGTGCAAAATCTCCCCCAGTTGAGAAATACTGTCTAGAGAAACCATTACAGGCAGTAGAAATAATATATTCATTTACATACCATGCTAACTTCTTCAGGATGTTCATTATTACTCAGTAAAAAAAAAATAATAAAAGAGGATAGAGATTCATGCTTATGTACATTTTTAGGTTCTCTCCCCAGCCTGCACAGGGCAAGGCTGGATTGTTCTTTTTAAGAAAAATAAACATGAAAGTAGTATGTGTATATATTTTAATGAGGATATACTGTGAATCTGGTGAAAAGCAATATATATTAATGTACTAACATCATTAATAGTAGATTCTGCTTTCTTTTCTAGCTGGGACTTGGGATGTAATGAAACTTTTTTAATACTTGATTTTACTTCACTATCAGTTTATATTTCCCACTGCTTTTGTTTCAAGAAATTTGAGGACATATGTTTTTTGGTAGTTGATTGATAAATTCTTTGATGCTTTTATTTCTTTCTTACCATTTATAGATTTCTTGAAAAATTCCTGTTCTCTCTTTCCTCATACCTCTCCTTCTTAAAAATCTTTGAGCTTGCCAAGAGCTTGCCATTTGAACCATAGTTCAAATCCTGCACTGATCAAACTATTATAAGCAACAAACTTCTTCTGAGTAATAGAACTCTTCTAGGCCTTTTATCTGGAACATTCTGTACAGATAGACTTCCAGACCTTCAGAATAATTTGTAGAACCTTTCTGGAATTGACCAAACAAAATCTGACTTATATATGTATTCAGGAGGTTTGAGAACATGGTCTTAAGGAATTGCTATAACTGTTTATCATGAGGTTTTTTTTTTTTTTTTTTAAAGCAGGTGAAATCTGAATATTTTCTCATTTTAAAATCTCTTTTCATAGGTTGATCACTCTAATGTGGACATTAAACAACCGTTTCCATCTATATTGCCTTCATTTGTTCCTCATGAGTCAGTCCGAGAATTGAATTACCATCCTGCAGATCTCAGAATGTTAAGAGTATCTCCTGACACTGTGCCAAAGACTCCCAAGCATTTAACAGGTACATAGAAAATGAGATGTTAAAGATTTTTATTGCTAACCTCTAAAATTTATCTTGCTGTGGCTAACTAATTTTTTGTTATGAACTGCTGCAATAATACTTTGGGGTAGGTGTATTTATAAACCCCTGGTTCTTTCATATGATAAACCATTTGATTTTTCATTGTATTTTATGTTTAGAACTGAATTACATAGAGGAGTCTGATATTAGAGTCAGTTTGGTTCTATATTCCTTTCTTTGTTTTGAAGGGGAAAAGAAATTAGTTGATCACAAGAGGAAAAAAGTGGACACAAAGATATTTGTAAAGAGGAAATGGAGAGAGAATTCTTGAGGTAGAAAGTAAGATTATCTACTAAGGGATGTGTAGGGGGTAGTACAGGTGGGTTATGGGATTTGAGAAGTGTTTGGTGAAGGCTCAGAATTTTTGTTGAAGTGAATAGAAGATGGAACAAAACAAGGACAAGCAAAAAGAATTGGCAGGTTGTTTTGAAAAGTTAGCTGAGATACAAGACTGGTTTATAATGTCAGCCTGTATATCTGTAGATTTGGCTTGCTAGTATTTTTTTTTTTTTGAGGAATTATATATTTTTAATAGATACTGGTGTGTGAAGGTGTTTCATGATTTTTTGTTGTTGGATTTTGGTACAAGGGTAATGCTAATTTGAGTTGGGAAGCCTATGCTCCTAGTTTTTAGAAGTTTGTAAAGAATTAGTATTAGTTTTTCTTTGGTAGAACTCACTATAAAGCTCCTGGGCTGTTTTTTTTTTTTTTTTTTTAAGTTCAATTATTACAAATTCTAGTTATTGTTTTTTTCAGATTTTTATTTATGCATACGAGAACTGGGGTACAGGGTTAGAGGTGTGTGGGGAGTGAGAGGAGTCACCAGAGACAAAGTGGAGAACAGAACAGGCGGATCTACTGAAATATACTGCTGAGGGGAGCAGCGGGTGAGACAGAAGAGGTCTGCTGCGCCATGTGAGTCACCTCCCTGGCTGGGGATCGAACTCATGCTGCAGTGGTTGGCAGATAGCTTCATAGTGCTGTGTCTTAACCCCTTGCACCACCAGGGAGGCCCCACAAATTCTAGTTCTTTACATACTTTAGGTCTATTTAGATTTTATAATTTTAATAATTTGTGTTTTTCATGGAATAGTTCATTCCAAGTTAATTTGTTGGCAGGTGACTAACCATGGTATTCTCTTATAATCCTTTTTATTTTGTAAAGTTGAAATGGGACAAACTTGGGTGATCCAGTTGGTGGGTCCTTGCCTGTGTACTTATCAGTACAGCATGAGAATCAAAAATACACACATGGGGAGAAACAACAATAACTGGATTTATTATAAAGGGAGTGAGAAAGGGAGAGCAGAAAGAGAGAAATAGAGATTATTGACCAGAATGTGCCCAGTTGCCATCTATCCTACCCGATAGCAATTGCTCAGTAGAAACTAAGGTCCAATCCTAAGGTATATGTGGCAAGCTGGTGCTTCGTGATGACACCCTTACTTCATAGCAGTTTTAACTGTCCAGGAGCCCTCAATTTTTAACTACCCCAGTGATTTAACTACCAAAGCACTAGTTGTTTTCCTATGTCCCGCCACCCTCCCTGGATATCTCAAACCCCAGGTCTACCCTTCCCAGGATATCAGGATGTGGGATTTGTAAAACTCCACTTTCTGCCATTGAGTTTACTGTGAGCGCCACCCACTGGCTCAGAGGTTGCTCCTCACTATTCCTTTTACAGGGTTGGTAGTAATGCTCTGATTTTAGTATTTTGAGTTTTCTTTCCATCTTGTACCTAAGTATATTTTATCAATTTTGCTTCAAAGAAATAAACTTTGGTTTCTTTACATTTTTAATTGTTTTTCTCAATTTTTATATCTTCACTTCATTTATTTTAATCTTTATTATTTCCTTTCATTTGCTTTGGTTTTAGTTTCTACTTTTTGTGTTTCTTTTTTTTCTTTTTTTTTTTTAAAGATTTACTTATTTATACAAGAACTGGGGTACAGGCCGGATGTGCAGGAGGGTGAGAGGATTCACCAGAGACAGAGTGGGGAACAGAACAGGCAGACTGACGAAATACACTGCTGAGGGGAGCAGCGGGCGAGACAGGAGAGGTCTGCTGTGCCATACTCTTTGTGTTTCTTAAGGTGAAAGATTAAGTTAATTATTTGAGATTTTTTAATATAGGTGATTACACTTTATTAATTTTCTAAAAATCAATAAACTGCTAAGCATTATTTACCTGCATGCCTTAAAGTTTGGTTTGTTGTGTTTTTGTTTTAGTAGTCTAAAACATTTCCTCTCTAATACTTTTTCATTGATCCTTTATTATAGTGGTGTTTAATATCCACATATTCGTAAATTTCCTTTTCTCACTCATACCGCATTTGATTGCATTTTTGTTGGAATCATACATACACTTTGTATGTTTTCAGTTCTTTTAAATTTTACAAGACTTGCTTTATGACCTAATAAATAGTTTATTCTTTAGACTGTACAGTTTATGCTAGAGAAGAATATGCATTCTGCTGTTGTCAAGTGGTGTGTTCTATAGATGTCTCTTAGTTCCATTGGGTTTATTGTGTTCAAGTCTTCTGTATCCTTGTCCATCTTCTGCCTAGTTGTTATCTCCATCTTTGAAAGTAGGGTATCAACGTCTCTATTATTGCCTAATTGTCTGTTTTTCCCTTCTTTTGTGTCAGAGTGCTTGATGTATTTTGAGACTATGATATTAGGTTCACTCATGTTTATAATTGTTGTTTATTTCTGTTGAATTAACATTTTTGTTGTTATAAATTGTCCAGCATATTTTTTTGTTTGTTTTTAAGGTATTTTTGCCTTTTATCAGTATTAAATTGCTGCTCCAGGTACACAGTATGGGTTATCTTTTTTCATCCCTTCCCTGTCAACTTGTTAATCAAACATGTTTCTCTGGTAGACAGCATATAATTGGGTCTTGTTTTTGTTTTAATCCAGACTGGCAATCTTTGCCTTTTGATGTGATAGTTTAATCCATTTACATTTACTGTTGTCGATATGATTGAATTTAAATTTGCTGGTTTATTTTCCATATGTCTCATGTCTTTGTTGTCCTATTCATTCCATACTTTATTGCATTAAATAGATAGTTTCTGTTGTGATATTTTAATTTCTGTAATGATTTTCTAGCTAATTTTTAAGTTATATTAGTGACTAGGGCTTACAAAATTTACTTTGACTTATCAAAGTATATTCCTGATTTTTACTGTCTTAATTCTAGTGTGATACAGAGAAGTTAATCCTATATAATTATTCTCCCTTTTTGTGTATAAAAGCCTAAAATTAAGATTCCGCAATATATACTGCTGTGACATCTGAAGATAGGAGATCTTTCATTCAGTGGGAAAGGCTCCCTACTTGTCTAGTCCCCCCATTAATCAGACCAATTGCATTCTACCTGTCAATCTGATGCGTTTCATTCCCCTGCCATCTTGTGAAGTTAATCAAAGTAGCCAGTTACATCCTTCTCTGGGAACCAAGGGTTACCCTGTCCTTTTTCTACTACAAAGCCTGCCTCCTGCTTGTTCATCCTGTCCTTAAATGCAAGCGTGACCATATGTAACCTTGCATGGTCCAGTGTTCCACTCTACTGGATGTGAGTAATATGGTTATTAAATTGCTGTCAGTCTCATCTGTCCAGTGTTTGAACATCCCTATAACACTCATACAGGTATTGTTTCCCTGTGAAGAGGAGGTGAATAAAAAAATTGTTTTTGTTTGTTTTTACTAAATATCGTATTATATTGAAATGGGCCCTTGATACAAATTGCCCTGATTCCTTATTTTTCATTGGCATATCTCCTGGATTCCATGTCATGATGGGCAGAAAGTAACTGCTGAGTCATTTTGGACCTACCAGGGTCCAAAGTATGAATCAACATAATTTGCAAATCGTGGTTAAATAACCCACGTAGTAAGATTTGAGGAGTTTGAGGAGTTCAGAATACAGAAGAGGTTGGATATAACTTGACAAACTTGAGTCTGTATTATAGAGAATTGATGACACTATTAGCAAGTGGGGAAGTGAATTTAGTTTTGAACATAATGAATTTAATATTTAGAAGATTTTTTAGATTGGAGTGTCCTCAAAGTCAGTTGAAAAAAACTGGAAATGGGAAATTAAATTTGGAAGACTTCAGTACTACATGTATAATTAAAATTTAATAGTTTAAATGTTCTGAGGATTGGACTGGGACTTTGTTAATGTTTTGCTTGCATCTGGCATTTTACATTATTTTTGAGCCCCTCATGAGGAATAGCTTACCAATTTTTGAATATTAAGTGAATTAAATGTCTAGGTAGACTCAGTAGAGATGGGTGAAATAATAAGGACCTAGACTTTGTGCTTTGGGGGGGTATAAGTTCTCAAGAATGTGCAACAAATGAAAGTAAAATTTATATCAGGCTAAATTACTCTATTTCAGTTGTTATTATAAAGACCCATGGATTTGCTTCTTGCATTATTTTAAGATTTTTACTGAGCTCATCATATGGCGCCAACTCTATGACTTGTGTAACTTGTGTGCTTTTGTTTAGTGTTCTTGCTTTACTTAATGATTGAAGCCTGTTCTTTAGGTTAGCCTTAGTACTTTAGGTTGCTATTTGTTTGGTTGCTCTCTCCCTTCGAGTTGCTAACTGGCTGTAGCTCAAAGTGAAGACTTTGATTGGGGTAGGTCTTTGGGAGGGTTCTTTAAGGATTAGGGACTTGAAAACAAGACATGAAATTCCATCTTCTTCCTGTCCCCTTTCTGTGAATTGGGGTGTACTTACTATTTGCCACGTGCTTTAGGTACGTTATGTCATATAATCTTTACGACAGCATTAGAAAGATGTGTATTTTAGATTTGAACCTATGGCTCAGTGACAGTTCATGAACAACAGGAGCAGTTTATTAGCTTTTTGAAGTTACTGTCATCGTAGGAATGCAGAAGAGGTGCCTTTGGTAAGAGTGCCTT